TCAATGTGTTTGGTGCATTCATGAAATCTTTGATTTTTAATCAAATAAATAGCACTTTTGACCATCACATCTTAGAATTGGTTCAGGCTTAGCTGAACTCAATTATGCCACCAAACCTTTCAACTAGAAAACTTCTTTTACTTCCTCCGTTGCTGCCATATATTCTGCCTCAGTTGTATACAAAGCGACAATAGACTGTAAATTTTATTTCCAACTAACGGCAAACCAACAAGAAAAAAGATGTATCGAGTTGTGGACCTCCTTCGATCAAGACCCCTTGCATAGTCAGAATCTACATAACCGAGAATTGAAAGACCTTCACTTTTACGAAATATTTGGCCAACATCAGGAGTTCATGTAAGATATCTCAATATTCAATTGAGTGATTCCCAACGTCTTTCCTTGGATTTGCCATGTACCTGCTTACCACACTTAAAGATTGAGCAATAACTGGACGTGTGCACACCATATCATACATAATGCTACCAAGTGAGCTTGTATAAGGAACCTTTTACATATGCTCCACCTCATCCATTGACTAAGGCATTTGTAACTCCAAGAGCTTGAAATTAGGAGATAATAGTGTACTTACAGTCTTGCTTATATGCAGCTTGAATCTCCCAAGAACTTTTTTGATGTACCTCTTTTTAGAAAGATGTACAACACCATTTTCTCTTAAAATCTCCATTCCTAGAATTTTCTTTGCAACTCCCAAATCCTTCATATCAAATTCATTACTCAACAGCTTCCTTAAAATATTTATCTCTGTGATGTTGTTAGAAGCAATAAGCATATCATCAACATACAACAATAGATAAATCATAGAATTACCAGACATCTTCTTGTGATACACAGATATCAAATGCACTCCTCAAAATCTACGTGTAGTCATGAATGCATTAAATCTCTTGTACCACTGTCTAGGGGATGGCTTCAAATCCTACAAAGACTTCTTTAGTTGGCATACATGGTCTTCTTTTCCTTCAGCTAGGAAATCGTCATGCTGATTCATATAGACTGTCTCCTCTAGATCACCATGTAAGAAAGCAGTTTTTATATCAAGCTGTTGAAGCTCTAAATCAAATTGTGCAACCAATGCTAATAGCACACGAATTGAGCTATGTTTCACTACTTGAGAGAAGATCTCATTGTATTCGATTCCCTCCTTCTGATTTAAACCCTTTTCAACTAATCTCGCTTTGAACATAGCATATTCCACTTATTTCTTTCTTTCTGTAGACCCATTTGCATCCAACTATCCTCATCTCCCTTGAACTTTTAACTAAGACACGTGTCTCATTTTTGTGAAGAAACTCCATCTCTTCCATCATGGCTAACTGCCATTGTGCAGCATCTTTGCAAGAAGTTTATTCAACATACGAAGAGGGCTCGAGATCCTTAATCTCTTCTTCTGCAGCTACAAACTGATGTGCAATCAAATTTTCTTGCTCTATAAGACATTTCGGTTTCAGTATCTCTCTTTTGTCCCTTCCCCTCGATATTGTGTATGGTTCATTGGAAGAAAATTCTTCAAGATTTGCATCATTTGACTCATCAATTTGAGTCTGTTTATACTGTTCACTGGTAAGCTCCACCGTCAGCTCCACCTGCTCGTTGTTCTCATTTCTTGATAACTCCACAGAAACATTACGAGAATCAAGTATAGAGGATTCATCAAAGGTAACATCTCTACTAACTACAAATTTGAGTAAAGACAAACACCATAGTTTGTACCCATTTATTCCATTTACATACCCTACAAATATGGCCTTTTTAGACCTTGGTTTAAGCTTTCTTTCATTAATATGATAATAAGCTGGACATCAAAATATTTGCAAGTATGAATAGTTAGAGGGTTCACCTTACCAAAATTCATTTGGTGTCTTAAAGTCAATCGTTGACGCTGGAGATCGATTGACAATATGAGAAGCAGTATGAACTGCTTCAGCCAAAAATACTTTGGGCATCTTGGCTTGTAAGAGCATACAACGAGCCTTCTCAAGAAGAGTTTTGTGATTCTCTCAACAAATCAATGATGTTGTGGTGTGTGACTGACCTTATTATGTCGTGCGATCCCATGAGCCTTGCATAAATCATTAAACTCTTCTCTGCAAAATTCCAAGTCATTGTCTGTGCGAAGATACTTGATTTTTCTCTCAATTTGATTTTCAACCAAAATCTTCCATTCTTTAAATTCTTCAAAAACATCACTTTTTGCCTTCAGGAAACTAACCCAAACCTTTCATTAAAAATTATCAATGAGTGTGACAACATACCTCTTTCCTCCCTTCGAAAGAAGCTTAGAGAGACCCCATAAATCTTAATGGATGTAGTGTAGCACCCCTCCCCTCTTGTGCTTGCCAATGCGGAAGCTGACCTTTTTCTGCTTCCCTAAGACGCAGTGTTCACAAAATTCAAGTGTGATGATCTTCTCACAAATCAAAACGTTGTGGTTGTTTTACATCTCCAATTATCGTGCGCTCATATGGCCTAGTCTCATGGGTAATAATTTATCCTTGTCGTCATTAAATAACTGACACTAGATGCATTTACTAAGCCAATACTGGTGCTTCCTGCAAGTGTGAAAAAATCATCCTCCAGCTTGGCCTTCAACATGACTAAAGATCCTTTACTTATTTTCATAGTTCCTCATTCACTCATGTACTTATAGCCTTGTTTATAAAAAATACTCAGAGAAATCAGATTCTTCTTTAGATCAGGAACATGGTGGAGTTCTATAATTGTCATCACGATTCCATCATTGCAACGAACACGAACTAAACCAATGCCAACTATTTTACAATTTGCATTATTGCCCATTAATACAATTCCCCTACTTGTTTCATAGTTGGTGAACCTATCTTTTCGGAATGTCATATGCAGAGTACAACCAGAGTCTAAGACCCATTTATGTGATAGACTCCACTATGGCATGATGTTGTTAGTACATAATCACCATCATTATCATGTACTTGCTCAACAATGGACACACTCGCCTTTTCTTTGGACTTCGACATAGGACAATCTCATTCAAAGTACCCCTTCTTTTGACAGGCCCAACACTTTGCATTTCTTTTGTTCACACGCGACTTTAATCTGTACGTCGATTTGCTCCTTCCCTGTTAGCTAGTTCGACCTCTTACAAAGAGTCTACTAGATTCGTCACTTTTGTCTCGTTCAAAATGCATTCGCACATCACAAGAATTAAGTGTTTGCTGCACTTTCTCAAGTTTGATAAGTTGTTTTCTATACATCATTTAATCCTTAATATCACGATATTTAGAAGTCAATGAAAATAGCAAAGAACATGCAAACGTCTTCTCGTCCTTTTTAATTCCAGCAGTTTGTAAGTCCATCAGAAGTTTATTGAATGCATATGGATTGTCTTGCAACAAAGTACCGGAATCCATTTTAAATTTATGAATACGCCGTTGTAACAAAATCCTGGTTGACACTGACTATTTCTGGTTCGATACTTCTACTCACTTCACAAAGTACATTAGGTGCAAGGGACAGTTGGATTGCACTCAATGCATCTCCTTCAATCTTTTCCTTGTCGGAATCCGATATCTTATCGGGGTACTTTCTGTCAATAGAACGGATTGAACCTTCCCTCCGCAGTAATACCATCATCTGGATTTTTTAGATTTTAAAGTTGTTGCGCCCACTAAATCAATCAATTTCAAACTTCATGGAACTCATCTTTACTTGTTCTTTCTTTTCTACTATAATTTATTTGAAACTACTAAAAACCAAAGTAATTCTTTTCTGATGTGGAAGTTTAGACTGTGATGCAACCACAGAGCATACTCAGACAGAACCTTGGCTCTAATACCAATTGTTAGCATAACCGTGAAATTAAACAACAAGGAAGAACAACAATATTTAACGTGGTTCATATAAAAATAATCATACGTCCATCAAAAAACAATTACAATATTTATTTCTCTCTACAAAAAATACATGTGAAATACCACAAGAGAGAGAACACAAATGCCTTATAAGGTCAGAAGGCAAGTGAGAGGGTGATTTGAAAATGAATTAACAGACACCTATTTATAGAAATATATTCATCATATTGATTACATCCATCACATCACTATGTGTCAAAATTTCAAGGTTAGGAGTATGAAACCATTTTATGCTTTGCCTAAATTTCACCTACCCAGATACGATGTTTGACTTTTATTTTATACTAATTATCTTCCTACTAAAATTCACGAATTAAAATCTTATAATAAGAGAGGAAAAGTAGCTCAAACTCACCGTAGTTTAGCGTTTCACATTTAATTTTGTATGTAATTTACTTTTATACCCATATTAAAAATTAATCTCTACAGAATGTTAGAGGATTAAAGAATATAATTAGAGTTAATGGAAAAATGAATAAAATACATGAACAATCGAGTTTCTAAAACCATAAAATTTAGTTTAATGTTTACAGAAGCAACAATATGTAGAGATGACAAATAAATTAACAAGATTCTCACCTAAATTTATGTTATTAATATGGAAAGAACTAAATCATATAGGAATTGAAAGGTTTAACCATGGCTTAAAACTTGTTGCTTTTTGTTTCAATAAATATGGACCATAAGATTTTGAAATTGATACATGTTATTAAATTAAGTGTGCATTGGACCAACTGGAGAGATAATGTATTAGAGAGGAGCCTCTTCCTTCCAGTGCCCACAACCCTAACCACAATTAAAAGACCCTTGGATTGACAACTCTTTCTTTCTCCCTTAAACCCAAATAGCTCTTTCTTCTTAACAATTTTAACACTAATTTCAATCAAATGATAAATTTTCCGGTGCAATACTAACTTGATGTTGAAGGATTCAAGTGAGAGTGTTGATTCTGGAAGTCTTCCCTCAATCCAGAATTTTATTAATTTAAAGTATTCTTTGTTTTATTGTTGATTTTATTTAGTGAAACTTTCATGATTATTGTTGTCTATGAATAAAAAGATGAAGAATATTGGTGATTTATCTTTCCAGGAAATGCAACATGTGACCTTAACAACACCACAAGAGAGTCAAGCTTCTGAACAAGCACAACAATTCATTGATGATGAATGGGCCGACAAGGTAAAGAGGAAAACGAAGATGAAGATGGCTAGCCAATTTTGAGGTCGAAGGTGATATCAGAATTTAAGACTAGGTTTTGACAAAAAAATGAAGGCTAAGAAGGCTAGCATGAGAATACTTTTAGGAGAATTAAACATGTTTTTGTTGTGACTAATTCAAGACTTAGCTTAGTAGTTGGATAATCTTGTATTGATTCACTCTTAATATTTTTAATTGTGCTTAAGAAAGGGTGAAATACATTGTGACTAAATAAGTTATTTTGAAATTAACTTATTTGGTAATGACTTGTTAATAAGTGTTATGTAAGATACATGTTGAATCTATATATTCTAAAGACTTATGTTATGCTGAGAAATATCATACATAAATACTATTAGACATTGATAGCGGTAGCTTTAGCAAATCTAGTTTAGAGGTTTACTACGGTCCATTTGATGATGTTGTCAATTTCTATAAACGCAAAAATCAATTATCACATTATGTAATCATCAAGGACACAAATTGGCTAGATGTGCAGGTGTTACATAAGTCCACATACAATGAAGTTTAAGTAAATTATATCTATAGTATTATCTATCGATACGAAAACTTTTTGAACACCAATATTAGGGTGGGTGGCCTACCTTCCTTTCTACTCTTTAATCAGGTTGCATTTATTTGAGGAATCTTTCTCTAAAATATTTGTTGTGTCAACTCGATCAACTCAATGACATATGTGTGGTTCTCTTTCATCACAACAAGGAGCAGAAGAAGATTCAAACATTTGGATGGTCAAAAGACTTTCAAAATCAATACTCCTTATTTATACCAAAAAATTGAAACTCTATCAGGGAAGAAGATAGAGCTATCTAGATTAAAGGGAGAAAGAAAAAGCAATCAATCCATGGGTCTTTTAATTGGGTTTAGGGATATGGGTAGATGAATGGGTCGAAGAAGGTATGGAGAAATTAAACGGTTTGGTATTTAATTTATCCAATAAGAAAATGACACATGATAATCGATAATAATAATAATAATTATTATTATTATTATAATAAGAATAATAATAATAACAATAATAATTATACTAATAATAATAATAATAATTATTATAATAATAATAATAATCTTTTTTAAATAAGGGGATTGATTTTAAGGGTAGAAATGGACAAAATAGATGACAAGGGGGTATTTTTAGCCCAATAGGTGGATGAAAGATGTTTTATTTAAAAAATAATTAAAGACTGGCTGATTTTAGAGTTGCCACTTAATTTTTAAAGGGAAATTAAGAAACTGATTTTCATAATATTAAACAAGGAGTCAATTGAAAATATTTGCAGGGGTCTAAGGTTCCTATTAATATACTAGGAAGGTTTTAGAAGTACCTAGTATATCCACTAATGTGGTTCTTTGACAATTAACTTATTTGTCTAACAATAGGCATGCATGACTAGTTACGAAATAAACAAATTTTATAACTTAATCATTCAGAGAGGAAAAGGAATATATTATCTAATCTGTCTAAGTAGAGAAAAACTTCTAAAAATGTTACAAATTAATTTGGAAAGACATGTATACTTAGTTCTTTTAAGATAAAGTAATATACATTAACTAACTCAAAATGGGTTTCCTTTGGGAAATTATGAGTTAAGAACCTTAAAATTAATTAGCAAGTAAGCATATACTAACAATAGAATTAACACGAAATATACTATAAGGAGAGAGGGAAATTTGGGACAATGTCTGATTTCTATTCGCTTGTGAAGTACTTGGGCCTAATTTCATGTAAGGGCTTTTAGCTAACATGTACCTGTCCTAGTTTAACAAGATAATAACAAAAAAATGATAAGGGCATAGGCCACAAATAACAAAATACAATTTTCCGGAATTTAGGGCTATTAGGCTCATTTTCCCACTTCTCGTATACACTAGATGTATACTAGTGTATACAATACCACATATGTGCTCTGAAACTTGTACGCCGAATTCAAGGAAATTATTGTTAACTCTCGATGGTGGATAACTTGAAGAGGGTTGAATTGGGCTTCCCTATGCCAATAAGAATATGCAAGGAAAAGGAGATTTGATTCAAAAAGTACTCCGGGCAGATTTACATACAACCAAAATAATAAGATAAGGATCAATAGTTAATCAGAACAAATATATTTGATTCATCTCTCATCAAACAATGTCACGATGTCGATGTTGACTTAAGAGAATATCTAAATGAAAAGTGGCTAACACCATCATAATCTTATAGTCATAGGCAACAAGAAGACAAATAAAAGCTTAGCTGATAGAACGTAAACTATACAATGCGAGAAAGTTATATATTGGTCAGTAAAATACAAAGACATATAAGCTCATAGCCTTACTAAAATGAAGTTTAAACAAAAGAAAGATATGACCCTAGAACAAAAGTAATATATATTTACTTATAAGAGAGGAACATTTTATTCTTATTCTTGTATCCTTAACACATTGACTATTTAAACTCAACATTTTACCAAACCCTTAGGATTATAATTATTCACAAGATATATAACATCTTGTAAACTGAAATGGCTAGGATTAAACAAAGAAACTAGTAATAGTTATTTTCTGAAAGAATAGGAAAATTTTGGAAAATTTCCTATGTGTAAAAAGTGAGTTTTTAGTAATTTTAAAATGGTCATAACTTCTAGCATAGGGTGATTTAGTGTCAGTTCTTTATATGGTTAGAAATACCTTGATAATATCTTTCCAGCGCCACCAAGTTTGTGAATTTTCGATATCATATGAGGGAGATATGCCTATCGGATGATTGGTTGTTGGATTGAGGAAAATCCAATCCGGATTTTAGTAAGGGTTAATGAGTCTTTTTACCCTACTATTTCCTAATTTGTTTTAATGGTTTATTATGTGTTAAATTAAGTCTTAAGTTAGTCTTTAGAAGATTGAAAACACTTATTGCTTGGGAGAAAAGAGAAGAGATGAAAGGAGAAAAGACCAAGATTTAGCCAAGATCTTTGAGTGAGTTTCGTTGGGGGTGATCCCTTTCAGGTATGTGAGATCTTTCTGTTGATGTTTTCTTCTACCCACACAATAATATATTTAATTCAGCTCAATTAGAGTAGATCGAATGATGATCATTGCACCTCTTGATGAGAAACCGTTGAATTCTTATTGGTTGATTTGTAATATTTCTTTGGTTGTTTGATTCATGTTTCCGGTTGTTTTATGACTCAAACAATTGGGTATTGAGGATTTTATTGATCCTAAGTTTTGGGGGTGGGATTCATGAGAGTTTGAAAGGCTTAGAATTGAAATCGGAGAAGAAAAGTCGTAAATCCCGTCTGACAAGCCCTGCGCACCACACCTGTTAGAGCCCCTCAGGGCACCCTATGTCTGACAAGGCTTGGCACACCATGCCTGCTGTATCCCCTCTAGAAATAAAACGTCTGTCTGGCTATGGCTCCCCGCATCTTTCATAGATCCAGGGTCACCTGGAAATCTCATATTTCCCCCATTTTTTCTTACGAATTCCTAAGTGATGTACCTATAATGCCTAGTTGATTGAAGCCCTCTAAAGTACATCTAAACATCATGAAATCATCCATAAACATGAGATCATGCCCCTTGTATGTATAATCCAATTCAAGAAAAGTTAAGAGCAAAGTCAAAAAGGTTAAACAGTCGAGTCTAAAAGATAAGAAGCAAGTCAAAGTGAGTTCTTAAAGTTTTCAATAGTCTTGAACAAAAATATTTTCTTTGTTTTAAGGCTCAAGATACAAGTTGAGCAAAGAGTAATGAGTTGATTTTAAGTCTCAAATATTATAAGAGAAGTAAATATTCTCAAAGAGTTAAGTTTTAAGTGAAGCAAAGAGAAAAGAGTGAGTTCATTTCTCCATGGATATAAGGTAACTAAGTAATTCCCTAGTAACTATATAAATGTTTTTAAATTTAACTTAAGAGGGAACAAAGATTTCCTACAGAATTTTGAATTAGAGAAAAAAACATAGATTCCAAGAGTGATTTTTAAAGCTAAAGTTTGAGCAAATTATCTCAATTCAAAGAAAGGAGGTTATTTTGAAGCATGAGCCAAAGTATAGTTTGGGAGTAGTATAGAGCATCAAATTAGGGATTAGAGTTCATATTAACTCAAGTCTCTACGTAAACCATGTAGCCATCATGAGTGTTAACGTGTCATACTTTTTCGATGATCACATGAGTTTATCCAGTGGATCCCTAGGTTGAGTATGTTCTATGTGACGGCAAAGTACAGGACAATTCTGACAGATTGGGACGTTGTATCACTTAGGATCATAGTGATGTTTGTCGGTTAGAGAATCTCCCAAAGAACTATATCACGTTCATATATGAGTGAAGTTGAGTGGCTACTACATTTCTTTGATAAATTTAATTACTTTACTATTTTACAAGCTTTATATATATATATATATATATATATATATATATATATATATATATATATATCACATGTGCTTGTGTTGAGTAGTTATTGAGTTTAGTAGAGACAAGGTTTGTTCCACTTATTTTCATCAAAATTAAGTTGTTGTTTAGCATTCTAACTTGCATACAATTACATTCAATGTACTGATTCCAATTGACATGCATCATTTTATGAAGCAGATGCAGGTAACCAGTATAAACATCCAACGCGTAGTTGATTCAGTTTGAGCATTCAGAGTTATTGGTGAGCCACATTGCTTTCCGAAAGGTCTTTATTATAATTTTATGTCTTGTTCATTTGTTAGAATGTTGTGGGCTCTGTCCCAACAATCATCTAAGCATTAGATAGATAGTCAGCTTGTTCAGCTGAGACTCTTTTATTTCAAATATGTCATTTTGAGACGAAATTATCATTTAGGATAAGATATTAATTTAATCATTTTAGGATAATGTTCTTACTTTAATATTGATTTGAGTTATGTTTTCCACTGAGTTAAGTAGGCCAGGTCAAGGGTTAGACAAAACCAGCAATGGTCATTGGGTGCTGGCCACATCCAGGGTGTAGGCTCAGGGCTTGACATA